TACTTGTTTGAGAGAGGAGCAAGCTTGGGGATCATTACTTTGCTTGGAACCTTTGTGAGCTTTATTTATTGTTCAATAATTGGTCCTTGTTGTGGCCATTTACTTTTGCATTTTTTTTTTTTTTTTTTGTGTTGATTTGAGGAGGACGGGATCAATTTCTATGGATGAATTGTGTTGTTGATGTTGTTGTTGCTTCAGTGTGCTTTGTTGTATCACTCTTTAATTTTAATGGCGAACAATAATGAAAAGCATCACCCTCCTCATGAACCACAACTTTTGCCTAATCCTCCACCTAGGGCTCTCAAGCATTACTATACTCTTAAAACCATGGTAAGGAAGGAGTTAATAAATTTGTTGGATCCAGGCTAGAAAGTAGCATCCGGTCTTGTTAGAGACGTTAAACTTAGCACTCATGACACATCGTGTCTCTTTTAGGACTTAGATTTTGTAGGTTTTCATATGCATTTTCATTTCCGTAGGTTAGTTTACTTGCATTTTGTTTATTTGTTTTTCTTTTATCTTTTGCAATTGCTTCCATGATTCATGCTTTCATTGAAAAAAAAAATTTATTGGATCAATCGAACTTGATGTTGGATTGATCGAAGGTTTCAAATTTTCAGAACCCCAAATTGCATGCTCTTGGTCTCACCATTCAAGTTTCTCCATGATCGATCCAATAGTACCATGATCGATCCAATTTCTCTATGATTGATCGAGATTAAAAAAAAAAAAATTTTAAAATCCCGTGCGATCGATTCAATTTCTCTATAATTGATCGAGTTTAAAAATAAAAAAAAAATTTAAACAGGTTTAAACTATTTTGCCCTTGTGTGCAGTCATGTATTATCTTTCATATTTTCATTTTTTATCCCGGGCTTGTTCTCATCTCTCTCTTTTATCTTGTTCTATATTGCCTTAGAGTGTATTGTTTGCTTATCCTTATTCCATATTCATATTGATGAGAGTTATGCTAGTGTGGTTCTTTCAGGTTTTGATTCCAAGTTTAGGGGTGTCTTCTTTCAAATTAGATCATTCTTTTGCCGGACTTCATAGGTTTTTGCCACTTTGGTATATTCTCCCATCTTTTCCATTGTTCTCATTACTCATTGAGGACAATGTGTGGTTTAAGTTTAGGGGTAAGGTAACTTTGTTGCATTCTATTTAAGTTCTGAACTTAAATTACATGATTGAGAATTGAGGTCCATTTTGGCTATGATTTTTATCTTTTGAAGCATAGATATTGCTTTAAAGTAACAAGTTTTGAAAGTGTAATACTTCGTGTATGCTTTAGGATGCCATTTAGGGGTAAAATTTTAAATTTTTGATATCATGATTGCTTTTGTAGTACACATCATCTTGCTTGTTAAAAATGTTTTGAGGATTGATTCTAGAGTACTACATTTGCACAAGCGTACACTAGCATTCAATTTGTGGCATACATGCTTAGTTGATTCTTGTTTTGGTTATATCCTATTTGAGCTAGTAAGCTTTGAAAAATCATCATTCTTGACAAAATGACCCTGCATGCTAAATAACAAACCCTTTTCACTGAGTTACCGGGATTCGTGTCTTATTAAGCATTGATTCTCGCGTCAAAAGGCGAAAGGCCCCAATAAAAAAAAATAAAATAAAATGAGCACTCTCACCAAAAGAGGTGAAGAGTTGGGAAATGAAAAGTGAGAGTTGTTTTGATTTGTAACCAAATTGATTTGAGTTATTAAGTCCTTAGAGGTGTCTTAAACCCTGATGCCCTAAAGTCGTCCGGTTTGGGAGCCATTGACCTAACGCTCTTTACACAAGTCTTTTAGAGAGCTTAAGAGATGTTTATATTACACCATACTCTTATCTTCGATTCCATTGAAAAAAAAAATGAAATCAATCAAAAAAAAAATTGTTCGAGTAAATAAAAGGTCCATTTAATGTCTTGATGATTGATATTTAAGATGTGTACTACTTTGAGGCTGATTTGTAATATTTACATTGATTTTGCTAAGATAGTAACATATTTTGATGCCGGTTCACTCAAAAAGGATGCTAGAATTGATTCGTTTTGCATGATTAACTTGCTTGATGTGTGGGGACCATATTTGCTTGCATGATGTTGAAATATTGAGAATAGCTTAGAAATTGTTGAAATTTGCATACTTGAGGTAGTCTTCTCTCGACACTTGTTTGAAATGTGTTAATGCTTCTTAAGTGAGAAAGAGCCTTTAATGTTTGTGGGTTTCATTTTTGGAAACCCTCACTAGACTTCACTTATCCACTAGGGGTAACCTAAGGGTTTAAAAGGCTTGTTGCATGTGCTAAATGCAACCATGATCCCTATGAAAACGGCATTATCTTTTTATTACTTTATTTATTCTAATTGTATAGTTATTTCTTTTTATTTCGTTTTTTGTTCATTGCTAGGGGACTAGCAATATTTAAGTTTGGGGGTGTGATAAGTGCTAAAATATACACATTTTATCCCCTAATCTTAGGTATAATAGAACATTTATCTATCTTTATTTTCCCGTTTTAGTCTTAATTTGTTTTATTTTTTATTTTAGGTTTATAAGGCTTAAACGAGCTAATTCCAATGTCTTAAAGTCCTTGGGAAGTCAAACAAAATCTTGGCAAGGAGTGGAAGTAAAAAGGAAGATGAGTTAAAAATTTCCTACTTGGATTGATCGGAGACGATTGATCAAGCCAGACCTGTGATCGATTACGCTGTGATTGATCCAACTTTAAGTGTGATCGATCCAACCTTAAGTGTGATCGATCACGCCTAAGGTTGGATCGATCGAACTTATCGCAAAAGCTATACAAAAACATATCTAAAGCTCATTTCGATCCAACTCGGGCTGTACTTGAAAGATGAGATCCTTGGGCCGAGCTCTGACCATCCTAGAGCCAAAATCCAACCATATGTAGAGGATGAAGCCTCCTTTGGAGGAGGATATGTGGATTGGAGTTCATGAGAGGCCATGCTTTGAAGACTTTATCTCTCTAGAAACCCTCTCTTCCACCATTGAAGACCTTGGGTTGTGCTTGGAGATGGGGACTGGAGCATCGATGTTCATCTTCGTCATCTTTATGACTACCAATTTCTTTTCTTAGGGCTTGGATTAAGCTCTAAGCCAAGTATTGTGTTATTTGTCTTTAGTTTTGGGGATTATTTTTGTAGATTGTTTAACCTTGTGAATTATCTTTGGTTGTACCAAGATTTATTATGTGTTTAATTCTTCCGTTAGTCTTCTTAAGATCTTTACATTGTCTTATGCATTGATTGTGGTTCATTGATCTCAACATCTTCACTTCTTGTAGTTGTGTGGGTGATGGTTAAACAATGGTGCTTAATTGATGTAGTTGCAATTGGTTTGATAGTCCATGCTTAGATTTGATGGGTTGTGCTACAACGTTAGCGTAAAAGTCGGTAAGTAGACAATTTATGCTTAGATTTGATGGGTTATACTTATTGATGCAATTTACATATCTTCTTGACCATGATTGTGTGCTTGTAGCCACAATTCTATTGTTAAACAATAGTGCTTTATTGATGTAGTTGAAATTGGTTTGATAGTCCATGCTTAGATTTGATGGGTTGTGCTACAAGTGTAAAAGTAGGTAGGTAGACAATTCATGCTTAGATTTGATAAGTTATGCTTATTGATGCAATTTACATTATCCGTATGATTATCGATGTATGCTTGTAACCATAATTCTTTTATTGCACAAGTATTTTCCCCAAGTTAATTGCAATGGTACATTTCAAGGCCAAAGGTGGAGTCCATGACCTAAGTATCTCAATATCTCCATTCCTTTATCCATTTATCATTTATTTTATTTGCATTTGTTTATATTGTTTAGTTTAATTAGGATTTTAAACAAACTATCTTTTCTAATAAATCATTTGTTCACTAATTTTAAATTGACTCAAGCCGTTGGTCCCTGTGGATGATCCCTATTCGCTATGCTACATAGTAGTAGTGGTTTTATAAATGTAAATTTGGCTTCTAAAGCTTCCAAAACCACATTCATATTGACATTATGAAGTAACGTCGGCCAACATACGTGACTTCTCAAAGAACCCTAAGTACTGAACATAATTTAAAAAAAAACTCATTTAACTTAATTACCTAATTAAACAATTCCTTACAACAGTGAGATTAAAATAAAACAAAACAGTGAGATCAAAATAAAACAAATAAACAAGTAAGTCAATTAAATACAAATTAAACATATAATCAATTTAAACCAACCGGTCAATTCTCACATCACGTAATTCAAATTGTCACACGTAGCCACATAAGCACCTAAAAATAATAAAAGAAATACTGAAAACAATAACATGAATAATCAAATTCCGATTATATCCCTTTCCAAACCAGGGGCATTATATAAGTCCCTCGTTCAGTAACAAAAGAAGTTTTCTCTTCGTCAACTGGATCCATGGGGAATTGATTATAACCGGAATAAGCATTCAGGAAGGTTAATCGCTCGTATCCTGTTGTGGCATCTACCATTTAATCAATCCTTGGCAATGGGAAACTATCCTTTGGGCAAGCTTTGTTCAAATTAGTGAAGTCGATACACACTCTCTATTTCCCATTCTTTTTCTACACTACAACAACATTGGAGAGCTAGGCCAGGTACTGAACTTCTCTGATGAATCCTGCTTCAAGCAACCGATCAACCTCCTCAGCTATAATCTTATTTCGTTCTGGAGCAAATCTTCTCTGCTTCTGCTTCACTGGCTTTACATTCGGGTCTACATTGAGGGAATGGCAGGATACAGAAGGATTTATCCCTGGCATATCTGAATGGTTCTATGCGAATACATCTGCATTCCGAGTCAAGAAATCAGTCAACTCTAGTTTTTCCTCTTCAGTAAGTCTGGTTCCCACCCTTGTTGTTCGGTCCGGCTTCTTATGGTCAATCTTCACTTCATGAAGGGGTTATGTGGTCAGAACTGGTGGCTCCTCCTCCCCATCTTTGCTGGGAGGAGGTTCCTGTAATTGCTATTTTGGACTGGCAGAACGGATGGGATTTTTCCCTTTTCCAGCAAATTTCAAAGTCACTGAATAACATTCTTTAGCTGCAACCTGGTCCCCATGTATGTCTATCACCTTGGTCCCATCTGGACCTAAGTATCGCATCACTTGATGCAAGGTTGATGGGACGCCCTGAACTCTGTGAATCCACCCTCTGCCCATCAAGAGGTTGTAGGATGGATGAATTTCCACGACCACAAAACTCTCAGTCAAAACTCGCTCAGCAGCTTGTACTGTCAATTCCACCATTCCAATGGGTTCCACTCGCTTCCCATCAAATCCGAGCAATGGATTTCCTGTGGGTTTGAGTTTTTTGGGTTCGATCTCAAGTCGGTCGAACGTCACCCTGGGCATGACATTCGCACTACTTCCTGGATCAATCAAAACTCTTCGAACCAGGCATTCTGCAACCTTCAGATTGACGACTAATGGATCTTCATGAGGAATCTGAATGCATAGCAGGTATGTTCTGTCGAACTTTATCGGTGTGGATGCGTTCTGCTGGTGCAAAGCATGCACACTGCCAATCCTTCTTTTCAGCTGGGCCTGGCGTAACCGCGTTCTGAGCAACTCTTCTGGCTCCGTCATTTGTTCAGGTCGGCCATGAATTGCATTTATAATCCGAACAAGCTGAGAGTTGTGTTGGTTCGGCCTCTAGTTCCGCTTAATCTGCTCAGCCGGTCGGTTCTGCTCTTACGCCAGACCTTGAACATAGCTTGCAAATTCCCCCTTTGCGATTAGCATCTCTACCTGCCTCCTTAGGTTCTTGTATTCGTTAGTCTGATGTCCAAAATCACTATGAAAAGCACAATGTTTAGTTTGATCCCTCTGTTCAAGAGGTTGTCTGATTAGTAAAGGAGGGTGAAACTTATCTTTGTTTTCTTGGTATAGCCTTGCTAAGGTGAATCTGAGTGGAGTTACCGATTCCTCCTCCCTGGGCCTTTTCTCCGCCTTCCATGAGTTTTGACGTTACGGCTGAGCTTGTTTTTGCCGGATCTTGGCTTTGGATTTCTCTTCCGTCGAAATAATTGACATCTTCCTTGAATTAGATGCCTCTTCCTCCTCAAGACGAACAAAACCGTCAGCTCTCTCGTTCAGCTCGTCCATGGTCTTTGGCGTATTAACCACCAAGCTGGTGTGGAACGATGTCCCCCGGTTCATTGCAAGTTTAAATGCTTGGACCGCTGTGGATGGATGACACTCTATTACCATGCTTTTAACCAGGTTGAACCGGGTGAGAAAAGCTTAGAGCCGTTCATCCTCGTGCTGCTTCATTGTGAAAAGGCTTGATACATCCTTAGCCGGACGTTTATTCCCGTAGTACTGGCTTATGAACTTATCGCACAAGTCCTGGAAACTAGCGATTGAGCCTTGAGCCAGATTCTTGAACCAATTGAGAGTTAGTCCAGCCAGGCTCATAGGGAAGCATTTGCACATCAAAGGATCATTGTTAGTATTCAGAGCCATTTTCAACTGAATGTGGTAGATGTGATCGACCGGATTGGTTGTTCCATCAAACAGAATGAAAACCGGCATGGAGAACTTCTTCGGATTCGGCGCGTTCAGAATTTCATCAGTGAATGGAGATGCAACCGTCCTTGCTGATGAGCGCAATGCTTCGTTTTCCCTTGAAAACCGTGACGGTAGCCCCTGATCGGCAGATCTCCATTCTGAACTGTGGTAATCAAATGTTGCTATTAAAGGTCGGTAAGGTGGATTGAACGACCTATCCTCTACAAACTCATTTCTCCACGGTGATGCGACCCTATGCTCATACGCCGGTGCTTCCTCCCTCATGATCCGTTCGCGATGTGGTTCCAGATGAACAGATCCTTCTCGATCCTCTACTCGACAGACATTCGGAGGCAGATCGTCGATTATAACTTCATCACGACGTGGATCAACACGATTGACACCTTCTGGATCACCTTGACGATCAGCTTGGGATGGTAAGGCTCCCTCTCCTTCAGGAGGTGGCCTCAGAATTGCAGGAGCCTCACGACGTTCCATTCCAGCTCGTAGCTCTGCATTTTCTTTCCTCAAAGCTTCGATCATGTTCATCAGCTCATCGAGCTTCGTCTGCTGGCCGTTTTCCAAAGGATTTGAGTTCGCTTCTCCGATCATCATTCCAGATCGGAGCAAAGTTATTAACTGCAGATTTCTTGACCAGATCGGAGTTCCGCTAACGCACACGCACCAGATCTGAACTCACACTTGCTAAATTATGTCCGCTACTGGCCGGATTCAGTAATCACAACATATCGCAATTGTGTAGTTCGCCGGATCAAGCACAGATCTGATCTGCGTGGATCGGACGCCAACTTCTCGAAATCAACCGGAGCCTCGACTCATCGAGACAGATCGTATTATCACCAATGTTGATCCAGCTTTCGCAGATTAATCGTCTTCCTCGCAGAGTGTTTTGAATCGAATCGATCTGGAACAACAACAATCAATCCTCCCTGTTCTTCCCACAGACGGCGCCAATTGAAAGTACAAAGAATTTCCCCCAATTACAGAGAGAGAAATTTTACACTCCCAATGATTTCTAACCTCTTTTCCCTCTCGATTTTCCTTATTTATAGACGGTTACAACCTCCTTTGGCCTGGGGCCTTATTTGTTCTCTTTTGCCTGGACTCAACTTCTCTCATTTTAATATGGGCTTCCGCAATGACTTCATGGATCTGGGCCCATCCAGCGCGAACTTGCTCCATCCTGGCTATCCATACCCGACCCGTCCTTTGCAATATGGATCATACCAAGCCCGGGTCATTTTGGTGTCCTCATTATGTCATTGCAAAATACAATGACAGAAGGTAGAAAATGCATGTCTTCTCCCAAAACCCTTGCATATTTGCTTTGTACACAACCTGGAATAAAACTATAATCACTTTGTGCAAATTTACCCATTTCAAACTATTGTGTTTAGATCTCTTTTCAACAACATAACGGTGTTAAAACCTCTTTTCGACACCCAATTAGATCATGTTTCAACACGCTAGAAGTAATCATGTTTCAACATATTATTTCGAAGTAATTTGTTGAATCAAGATTAGATTTGTTGAGCACATTGTAGAAAGCTACAACAGAGGATCCAAAGGCCTTCATGCCTTCATAATTGGCTCTACTTGCCCTTGCCAAAACAATCTCCTAAGAGCACATAATATTGTAGCTTAATGGAGATTATGACGCTGTTAAATAACAAATAGGAGACATCAGTAGAACAAATGTGTGAGCTAGTTACAACAGCATATTTGATCATGAGCACAAGAGGCATAAAATTGAAGCAAGACAAACAAACAACACATACCAAAACCAAAAGTAACATCAAACGCTAAAGAAATCAAGAAAGAAACACAGAACAGGAATACAACATAACAGCAAGGAAACCACTCAAAGAACAGAATAACAACAGACCAAATGAAAAAAAAAAACCCTACATATCCGCAAAGCAGACCAAAAGACCTCAACTAAAATGTGGACCATGCCCAACAGGTAGGTATTGAACCTGTAACCAACCCCAGAACATCCAATACATACCAAATCAACTGCTTTGCTATCTGATCAACATTAGAGAAAGACTCATCATGTTAACTGCTTTCTCCAACACCCCTCCTCTTCCATCATCACCCATTTGTCAACTTGACTCGAATCATAATAAATCAGAGCAAGAGAGTTATTGTAAAGTGCAAGAACTGCAGGTTTTGAATTTGGAATATCATGCATGCATGTCATAAAACAACTCATTGCCCATGTCAAATGAAATGATCGCAAAATGAGAATCATGGTCTTTTGCAAACCAGTGATAAACTCCATTAATGCATGTGTTAGAATAAGGGTTCACGAGCAAATACAAGTATTGTAGGCAGAGCAACATCATCAATATATCTCCAAGAATCACTAGATAGCTAGAGTGGACAAATAAACCTTACTAACACTGCACAGGCTAGACCTAATTCATTTCCCAAGTCCACTCAATCCAAACCACCTTGTAATCATTAGTAATGGGATCCAATCCAAATCTAAAAGCATCTCCCAAACGCATCAAATTCGGATTTGGGCGGATGTTTACGACGGAGTAATTAGTATTTAGGATGAACAAGCAATGGCTATTATTAAGACAAAACAACTCATGCAATTTCAGTTTAACACAATCCATGAAATATTGTTCAAAGAGATGATGTGAGCCCAAACCACCAAGGTTAAAAAAAGAAAAAGAAGAAAATACTATTAGGTTTTGGACTATGGGTGGACAGAAGACCTTCCTACATGTACTTGGGTTAGCATTTTGTGAGGTTGATTTGGCAAAGATGTTCCTTTATTGTTGGGTTAGGAATCACAATCTCTTTGAATGCAATTGTTTCTGGCCTTTTCTAATTCCCTTTAATCTTGCCCATGTCTTTACCTTTATTAAGGAATCAAATATTTCTTGCGCGTCTATGTTTTCTTTTCTTGCCCATTCAACGGTTTAATTTTCAATTCATTTTTTTTTTTTATACATATAAAATTGGTTCTCCTTTTCTAATTTTCAATGTACAAAATGCATTTTTGAAGCTTTCAAATTTATAGTAAATAGTATTGTAATTATTTTTCAATATTAATGGCATGAAAGGCAGTAAAATGAGATCAAGCTTAGTTTATTTACTCGCTGTGTTCGGTAAAAAGGAAAGAAGAGATGTGGAGAGAAAATAGGAAGGAAAGTACTAAATTCTTTTGTTCGGAAGTAAATTATTATACAATATTTAAATTAAATACTATTCTAAATTATACAAATTTTAAATTACATTACTATTTTCTATAAATTAAAATTAAATTAGTGTAATTGGAGTAGTTGATAAACATTAAACACTTATATTTGCTTCCATCTCTTGGTAAAAAGGGCCCACTGCTGCTTTGTTATATTCTTACAAACATTCAAGAGAGAAAAGGACACGCCCTGCATTTTCCGTCTACTTCCGAAGAAATTTCTGTTCAACTTCCAAATTTTAAAAAAGTAGTAGTTGAAAAAGAATCCGCGTTTATAGGCATGACTGGTTCTTGGTAATTTCATCAGGGCAATTGCTGAGAGCCCACACCCATCCATATAAAACCAGCTACTCCTCAAACTCATACCACCATCCACACCCACCACTATTAATATCTTCTCTCGCTGCTTCTCCTCTCACTAATCATAGCAACTCTGTCCTGCAAATGGCAATCACCATGGTTCACATTAACCACCGATGCGCTACCGAAACCACCAGCCTTTTCCACTTTCTTATTTACATGTTTTGGGCATCCAATGGTATTGGTGCAACCTACAGGGCTTATGTTCACGGCCACTATTCCATGCTAGCTCTCCTTTTCTTAGTGTACTTTGTTTTCGTGCCATTAGAATACTGGGTGTCATTGTCCCAACGATTATCGCTCAGAAGAGACTACTTGAATTATGCAATTTGGTTCCTATTTACGGCCACAGTGCTTGCTATAGCGTACCAATTCGCGCCATCCTTCGGCATGCCTACCGCCTTGTTCCTCTATGCCGTTTCAGCTGCAAGCAGTGCTCTTATTTTCTACTTCTACATAATCTATGATGACGAAATTGGTTGCGCCGAACGCTGTCCCACTGATGAAAATAAAAATTCTAGTCAGTGTCACGTTGACATGAAATTCAAGCATTCTGATTCAATTTTGGAGAAAGTATAATTGTTAAGTTAAAGGGTTAACTTGAATGAAATTTCACTGTTTTTTTAATCCAGACACAAATCGGGAAATTGAGGAGTGTGGGTGTGGATGCACGTGAGTATGTATTAATAAAATAATAATAAAAAAAGATTTACCCCTGCAAGTCCAAATTTTTGTTTATCTCACATCATTGATTATGTCATTGCAAAATACAATGACAGAAGGTAGAAAATGCATGTCTTCTCCCAAAACCCTTGCACATATGCTTTGTACACAACCTGGAATAAAACTATATAATCACTTTGTGCAAATTTACCCATTTCAAACTATTGTGTTTAGATCTCTTTTCAACAACATAACGGTGTTAAAACCTCTTTTCGACACACAATTAGATCATGTTTCAACACGCTAGAAGTAATCCTGTTTCAACATGTTATTTGGAAGTAACTTGTTGAATCAAGATTAGATATGTTGAGCACATTGTAGAAAACTACAGCAGAGGATCCAAAGGCATTCATGCCTTCATAATTGGCTCTACTTGCCCTTGCCAAAACAATCTCCTTGCCCAATCTTCCTCTTCAAACTCCCATTTACAAACACTGCACAGGCTAGACCTAATTCATTTCCCAAGTCCACTCAATCCAAACCACCCTGTAATCATTAGTAATGGGATCCAATCCAAATCCAAAAGCATCTCCCAAACGCATCAAATTCGGATTTGGGCGGATGTTTACGACGGAGTACGGAGAGAGGCCTATATTCTCTGGTTGCGGGATTCCACAGGGACCGACCTCTATTAGATAGCCGGCCACATTCACCACATTCTGATACACCGGCGGAGAACCGGTGAGTGTTTCCTCTGAGAAAACAAAATTATTTATTTTGTAATATCATGTGTATTATTATTTTATTCTTTTCACACATTTTTTTCAACATTCTATTTTATATAATTTTTGGCTTGATTATCATTCTATATAATTTTCTTTTAATTTAGTTAATATTCGCAAAGGATACTACTCCGCATTAGCTCACCTTCGATTTCATCATTCCAATCCTACTTACTGCATCATCATCTATTTACCTATCTTAATTCAATTTTTTATTTTTATTTAACCAACTAGTCTTAGTAGTCAACTAGAATTCTACACGGGGACTATGTTTTGGACGGGCCACTGTGACCCATCCAAGACCTGGTCCAATCAGTTTGGGATTTGATTGAGGTTTGTGATGAGCAACAATATTATTTAGGGTAAAATGTAAAAACCGTCCTGTATTATTAAAAAATTAATAATTAATTATTAAATATTAATTTACTAAAATAATTAATTCGTAAACTATGCATTTAGGTCAAAATGTCAGTACAGAAACATAAAGCCAAGTCAGAAAAGACATACAAATCTTGAAACAAAATAAATAAATGAAGAACAGACTCCAGATTTGTGGAGGAAATAGAACCCAATACCTGCAAACGGAACTACCATGGGAGAACGCAGTAAACAGGAGAGACCGAAAAGTTTGGCCATCATCACGACAACCGCTCCAAAGTTACAACCACAAGGCGCTCAAATACCTAAGAAACCCCGCACAAGATCAAATTAAAGAAAAAAATAAAATCGAGACTGGAAAAACCAAAACCGACCTAGACCAGAGATCTAGTCGGAGAAAACAACATATCCGCCCATGTGATCCAAAAATGAACTGAACATGAACAGATCTAGTCGAAGAAAACAAAAAAAATGATGTAAAAAAATACAACGGAACACACTTATTAAAACACGCCAAGTGTATTGCAGCAGAGTAAAGAAGACGAAGGTGCCGGTTAGAGAGAGGTGGGGCGGCCATTCAGGATTTGATTCAATTTGGCACGAGCAGGAATTGTATGTTATTGTTTAGGCTGAATTTGATGCATGAAACAGAATAAAAGATGCTATAAATTTTGATTTATTTACTTTAAGGGAAATCAGTCAAATTCGAGTTGTTTACAGCAAATTATATTTGTTTTCCTCTCTTGACAAAAAAGGACCCACTACAATATATATATATATTTTCTTACAATGTCCAATTGTCCAAGGCAAAGAAAAGGACGGGCATTATTTTCTTGGGCCACGCCCAGCAATTTCCTTCTACTTTTCAAGAAATTTCTGGTCAACTTCCGATGAAAAAGAATCCACATTCAAAAGTCACGACTGCTTCTTGGTAACTTCAGGGCAATTGCTCAGGTCCTACACTAACATTCATATTCACTTGTATATAAAACCTCAAAACCAGCTAATCCTCAAACTCATACCATCCACACCCAACACTATTGCTATCTGCTCTCTCTCTGCTGCTCCTCTCGCTATAGCAACTCTGTCCTATAGTTCTGCAAACGCCAAGAAATCTTCAAATTAAAAGGGCAATCACCATGGTTCACATTAACCACCGACGCGCTCGCGAAACCACCAGCCTTTTCCACTTTCTTATTTACATGTTCTGGGCATCCAATGGTATTGGTGCAACCTACAGGGCTTATGTTCATGGCCACTATTCCATGGTAGCTCTCCTTTGCTTCGTATACTTTGTTTTCGTGCCAATAGAATACTGGGTGTCATTGTCCCAACGATTACGTACACACAACAAACCAGTCAGAAAAGACTACTTGAATTATGCAATATGGTTCCTATTTACGGCCACAATGCTTGCCATAGCGTACCAATTCGCGCCATCCTTCGGCATGCCTACCGGCTTGTTCCTCTATGCCATTGCAGCTGCAACCAGTGCTCTTATTTTCTATTTCTACATAATCTATGATGACGAAATTGGTAGCACCAAATGCTGTCCCAGTGTTGGAAAAAGAAATTTTAGTCACTGCTATTGTCGTGTTGACATGAAATTCATGCATTCTGATTCAATTTTGGAGAGAGTATAATTCTTAATGTCAATGACATTAAAAAAAAAAAAAAAAGGGGTTTGAGGAGAGAGAGAGTGTGTGTGTTGCATCTGAGTATGTATATCATTTATATTGATATGTATGAGTGCATATTAAATATGAAGAGTTTGCAAGCTGTTGGAAGCAAATTGGAAAAATCAAGACATCTAAGAAAGTTGAGTTCTTATATCTTATGGCAGAGCTGCAACCAAAAAAATCCCAGACCTTAGATATTTGAAGGCTAGAGCAATTTATGTTGATGATTCATGTCTCCAGTATCGTTGTGCAGTGGAATCAGTAGAAAATGTTCTTTTCTCAATAGGTGTGGAGACACTCTCCACTTAGAGTATCTTCAGACAACATCGTTGAAGTCCCATGGAAAATGAGATGGTTATTCCTATCGGATTTATGTAACAGATCAAACAATGCAAATACATGTTTCAGTCCAGGAGTCTTTATTTGTTGGCAATTGTGGAAGAGCATAAATGATAAGGTGTTCAATGGTACACAGTGGTCGTTCCCTGACATTCTTGACAATGCTATGTCTAAATTTTATAAGATTCATAATCAGGCATGTATACATCCTTGATGTCTTCTATGGTCATCGATTAGTTCCAGAAACCTCTCACTTGGGTGGCTCCTCCTTGAGGAAAGCCGAAACCGAATTTCGATGCTGCTTTTAACAGTAATTCTAACTGTTGTGGAGGGGGTTTCATCATTGGAGAGTATCTTGCTAGGCTAGTGATGTAGAAAAGCTCGCTCACCATTATCTGAGCATTGAGAGTTGCCCTCTTACTGGATGCAGAATGTTAGCTCCGCCTTTTCTGCAGAGGCTATATTCAAGGAAGTCATTAAACTGCTGGAAGTATAGGGATACACGGGTTGAAATTGAGGGTGATTGCATAGGTGTTTTATCCTCGTCTCCTGTTGACATCCTTTCTTCGATTATTGAAGATATCAGGGTATAACTCCAATAAGTGAAAAAAAAAAAAAAAATTGTATCTGAAATTTTACCTACCCAAAAGAAAGATTTACCCGCGCAAGTCCAAAGTTTTCTTTGTCTAACATAATTGATTAGCTTGCCATTGCAAAATAAAATGACAGAAGGTAGGAAATGCACGACTTCTGCCAAAAAACCTTACATAAGCTTTGTACCCAACCCTGGGATAAAATGGCCATTACTTTGTGCAAATTTATCCTCTTCAAACTTTAACTAATGTCTTGAAACATGACTTAATTGTGTTTAAATCACTTTTCAAAACCATAGCGGTGTTAACACCTGTTTTCAACACAATTAGATCATGTTCCAACACATTACTAGAAACTAGAAGTAAATGGTTGAACAGCTATTTAAATCTGTTGAGCACGCCACAATATGCTGCAACAGATCATAATTGGCTCTTCCACCAATGTGGGAAAAAGAATACTTCCCAATCTTTCCCTTCAAAATCCCATCATCAGTAAGCCCACATAATATAGTAGCTTAATGAAAATTATGACACTGTTAAAAACTACTAACAGAGGGAGATTTTTAGTGGAACAGATGCGTGGTACAATAGCACATTTTATCATGAGCGAAAGGGGCAGAAAATTGAAGCAAGACAAACAAACAGAAACCATTAATGACATATTCAGGAAAAGTAAAATGTCTGTAGTCAGGTCTTACAGATACAAATTAGAAGAAACTTTAATTTAAGGAAACCAAAATGTCTTTCTAAACGCATCCAAAAACAACTGCCCTCAGCCAAAAACAAAAAACAAAAAACAAAAAAGTTTAGTTCTGCATCTAGTTTCCCCCCTTATCCTTCTTAGTCATTGTTAGCATGCCAACACCCTTTAGCTGCATCCAGTTTCCAACATTTTTCCTTCTTAGTCCCTGTTGTTGCACCAAAATAGACGTTTTTCAGCTTGAACAGAAATCAGTTAGAGAAATTCAAAACTTGATCTACATCAGACAACTGATCCTGTTCTAGGAACCTATCTCCGCCCCTGATTGCAACTAGGCTCTCCCTGTAAACCCATAGCATGGGTTTTTCAACCTGAAATCCAAGATCCTTACTTTCATGAGTCTCCGGGTCATATAAGACCACACAACCATCTTTAGTTAACATAAAAAGCTTACCATTCTTCCCAAACTCAAGCAGAAGCCGCAAACTGGGCTCTGAAAGGAGATCAATGGTTAACTGCTTCCTCCAACACCCCTCTTCCATCATCACCCATGTGTCAACTTGACCAGAATCATTATAAATCGCAGCAAGAGAATTGTCATAAACGGCAAGAGATGCAGGTTCTGAATTTGGAAGATCATGTATCTCATGAAACAACTCATTGCCCATGTCAAATGCAAGGATCAAAGACTTATTATCATTGTCTATTGCATTCCAGTGATAAACTCCATTAATGCATGTATTAGCAAACATGAATGAACGAAGGTTGCCAATGTTAGCATAAGGCAAAAAAACATCAAGATGTCTCCAGGAATCAGTGGATAGGGTATACACAGCAACATCATACTCACTGCTAGACCTAATCACTTCCGGAGTCCACTGAATCCAAACGACTTTGTAATCATTAGTAATAGGATCCAAACCAAATCCAAAAACATCTAGGTAACTCATCACTAGGGATGTGGGCGAGCGTTTACGGGGGAATGCCGGGAGGGACCTAAATTCTCTGGTGGCGGGATTCCACAGGGCGAAGCAATTGGATTTACAATTGAACAGACACAGTATGCCCGAATAGGGAATGACCCCTAGAAGGTGGGGTACAACCACCACATTCTGATTCACAGGTAGAGAACCGGTAAGTGGTACATCCGGGAACAATGAGAACGCATATTTTTGGGAGATGCTGTGAAACCCGTAAACAAGAAGGCAGCCACTGTTGCTTTGGTGATTGGAGTGCTTAGTAACGAAGTTAGGGTTTTTGATGATATTGTACCAATTTTTGCATACGGCTTTGGCCCGAATCAGTGATTTCACGGGAAGCCTTAGGAGGATCTCAATAGTCACATCCTCAGGCAACTGGTGGGTGTCATTACGCCTCTTCATTTTCCCCTTTTCTATTGATTCGATTGAAAACCTAAACCCTAAACCCAATTTCAACACATTTTCCTTATATTAAAAGAAAAAAACACAGAGAAAAATTAACCATATCTATGAAATATTGAAGATAACAGGAAAGAATTAGGACGGTGAGACTCACAGGATTGTTTGGATTGAATCGTCGACCTGTTTGTAACTTCGTATCATCTTCTGCAAACTAAGAACATCGTGAAAGTAACCACCCGTGATTTTCTTCCTTTTCCCCCTTTCAAATCTCTTGAATCTAGTTCCAGAGAAAGCAGACTCGATTACTTGATCAGTGCAAGAAATGCAAGGAAAAGGATCCAGGGCTTGTTTGGCGGAGCTTTTACTTCCGCTTTTAAGCAAAAGAAAAAGAGAAGCATAAGTCACGACTCCCATTTAGCGTGTAGTGTTTGAAAATTATATTTTAAAAGAACTCTTTATGTCAGAAGAGTTATTTTATTTGTTTGATAAAATATTTATTAAAGTTCTTTTAATACTAAAATAACTATTTTATCCTTAGATGAATTGTTTTTTGTTTTTGTTTTGAACTATATGACAATAACAAAATAATTATGTTTTTTAATCCAAAAGTCCTCTCCATTTTTCAATTTGAAGGTTTGGAGATACACAAGTATTTGAAGACCAATTTCAATTTGAAGGTTCAGAGAGAGATACACAAGTATTTGAAGAGACTGAGAGGGGGTGAATTGGTTTAATCAAAAGTTTAGTTCTGTTTCGCAACTATTTATGAATCAGAAGAAAAAAAATATTGATTGACATGGAACAGGGAAACATCCAAAGAGCCTTTAGACTTGACCAAAAAAAAAAAAAATCACTATGATTGAAAAGAAACACACTTTAGGTTCCTCACCCTTTCCTTCTCTTCACACTCACAGTGACGATTTTTACAACCTCGGTATACAACCTACAGCAAATCAATCACTTACTCACGTAAACTAATACACCAAGCTGTGTCACACACAAGTTGTTTACAGTCATTTGAAGCTCATCTTTCAAGATACTCGAACAGAGACACAGAGAGAAACACCAAACAGAGAGCCAAAGAAGAAAATGAAATTGAAGAGCACTAGTTGCCATTAAAATGACAGAGAGAGAAACACCAAACAGAGAGCCAAAGAAGAAAGACTCAGCAAAACCCAACAGTTCTTGGATTGCTCTCCTGCTTAAACGCTAAACGCTCTTCTAGAGCCAAAAGCTCTTCTGCGTAACTCATCCAAACACTCAAAAAATAAGCTTTTTGACTCTAATAATCAAAAGCGGCTTTTTAAAAGTCATTCCAAACAGGGCCATAGAGTACTACTGCAAATAACTGGTGTAGTTAATAGGGAAAATGATACAAATGATTAAAATAAAAACATTTTTATTTTTATTTTTTTAATTTACCCATTATTTTAATTTACTAGTAAAGAATACTTGTTCAACTTTATTCATTGAAATTGCATTAAAAAAATAAAAGAAAAAATCAATCAATTTTTTCTTTTTATTATTACTCGATTAATAGTGTTGGGTGTGAAAGAGTCCGGATCATGAGCTTTGATTAATAGATATAAATAGTAGTTTTAAAATGTTTGTTTTAGATTTTCATATATAAAAATAATGCGTTTAAGATACAAAGTAAATAGTAATGGTTTTGTAATGAAAATTTAATGTGAAAAATAAAAATGAGTGTGTATTTTGTTATTTAATTAAAAATAGAATTGAAAAGATGTAAATAAAGTATTGAAAAATTGAACTCATATAGTATATAACATACTTACGTGTGTATGTATATAGTTAAAGAAAAAAAGTAGGAGAAATATGACAAAAAATAAAGTAATAAAGTAAGAGAAATATGATAAAAGATAAAGTAACAAAGGGATTAAAATATATATTTACTGTAAATATGCCGTTTTGTTCTAATATCATTGAATTTTTTTTTTTTTTTTTTTTTTTTTTTTTTTTTTTTTTTCACGTTGTCTCCTAGCACTATGAATTTCAATACTCATCCGTCTCCTTTTCCGAGAGCAGTAATTTTTTAGGGGATATGTGGGATATACCCTGTGAAAAATTATTAAATTGTCCTTTTAAATTTTGAATATTCAAGTTTAAAATTTAAAATTCAAAGAACATATATGAAAAATTGTGAAATATATTGTTTGAAAAAAGGAAGTAGGCAATTATTTTGGGATAGTGTTTGCACCCTAAAATAAAATTTAGAATCAGCCACATAGGATGTGCTGCTTGGTTGCCCCAAAATCAAAATTTTGCCACATGGCATAATGTTGGAAGATTGTTGGTGCAATTGAAATATAATGCGGTAATTTTGTAACTTAATAAAACTACAAAAGCAGTGATATTCAAGCATGTGTTCACACTACATATCAATTCTCGTTTGATAAGTTGATGAGGAGGATAAGATGGATAAGTTTGCAGGGATTCAAATTCAAACACTAGAGTTTGAATTTAAATCAAAGAGTCACTTGGTTAGTTAAGTAAATATCATTAACCGATCTGGGATGCAATTATAAATAACGTGGAAGAAGGTCTGTGCAAAGGTCCCCGACCAAAGCAAATTTCCTATTTTCTGCAATTTTTGTTCTTCTACAATTTCTATTCTTTCTGCGTTTTCTTACAATGTAATTTTATTTGTACTTCTCTTTTTCCATAGGAGTACTATTAGAATAGAATTCTTATTCTTGTACTTTTGTATAAGACTACTTCTTTTTAAATAAAGTGGACGCTTGGATCTCGTGTCTCCTCCATTTTGTTTTTATAAGTTGTTCTTGGATTAGATGGACGTTTGGATAATTTGTTTTGTCTCCTCCGTTTATTTCAAAATCTAGAATTGAAGAACGCTTGAACAATTTTTATTGTTCCATTCTTTAAGTTCCAGCCTCTGCTGTCGAAAATCCTTTTTATTGAGGCGTTAAATAACCTAAAGGAAGGGCTCATCCTTGCCTTCCAACAGTCGCATGATTCACTAAGGGCCAATTTCATATTCGGTCAGCACCAAGGATAGTTTGGCTATCCAACCCCTTGGGTCGAAAGACTCTGGCACGGCCCTAAAAAAAAATAGCCAAACAATTTGGCACGCCCGGTGGGACCCCAGAAGTGTCTAAATTCAACCTATATCTATGCCATTCACTCGGTCTCAGTCGTAAAATTTGTCTGAGAAATAGCATCAACATTAGGAATAAAGGGCTGAAATCGAAGTAAATCAACAGCCAAATAATCATATGTTAGCTGAGAATATTAACAATTTAGTACAACGGATGGAAATTTCTAGTCGTACCTTTCATGAAGCACTAGAGCTGATCCATAACACATTGACTAATTTGAATAACTCTTTGACCGTCCTATCAACAAGGTTTGATCAACACCGTATGGCATGGTTAAATACTACAGATATTTTATTACGTGCACAACAACAAGTTCCAGTGCCTATTGGGGTCCAACATAATTACTACTAACAACAGCAACAAGGGTTTCAACCCCTTTTGCAGTCGTTGCATGGACAGTATCAACCGCAGGCTAATCAGCCGCAATATCATATACCAGCGGAGTATCAACCAATCGAAGGGGCCAATCAGAATGTGAATTGGCGACCACTTAATCCGATTTATCAACACCAACCGCAGGTATGTCATCCCCAAGAGGGGCGAGATAATTTTAATGCTGGTTTTAATTTTCCAGCGCCTCAGCCTCAGGTGCCGAATGTGCCTCCGCCTCAGGCGCCGAATGTGCCTCCGCCTCAGGTGTCGAATGTGCCTCAGCTTCAGGTGTCATATGTGTCTCATCCTTAGGCACCTTATGTGACGGCCCAATGTTTTTTAACCCGGTGCGTCAGTGATGAACCGAAAGATGAACCGATAACGGATCCGAATTGCGGAAGCAAAAGATGAAACGACATCCCTAGGGACACAACATGTCTCTAAGACACCAAAGAGACCCTCAATGAGATCATGGAACCCAAAGAAAACAAATGCAGAAACAAGATTTCAAAAATGGACAAAAGGAACCTAAGGGTAAAATGGTCATTTTCATCCTAAAAGTGAGTATTACCAAGCATATCGTTGGAAAGACAACGAAAAATAAATGAATTTAGACTCAAGAATCACTTGATTCGGAGTCCGGACGGCAAAGATATCAAGTCTTGAAGTCGAAGGAAGAAAAGCCCTATCCCGGTTCGAGCCAAAAACTGACACCCCTCCACTAAAACTTGAATAACTTGAGCTACCAAAGAAATCTGAAACTCTAATTGATACCATTGGAAATCTTATTTCGATGCGGTCAGTTTAGACTCAAGAACGGACCAATTCGGAGTTAAAACGAGGAAGATATGACAACTTGAAGTTGGAGGTGCAGTGCTGAACCAAGAGACACAAACACACCCTATGAATAGTAATTCGAGCGCTCGAACTAGGACTTCGAGCGCTCGAATAGTACATGCCCGAGGCCAAAACTTTCTGCCCAAACTTCGAGCGCTCGAACTCCCTTTTAGAGCGCTCGAACTCCTGTAGCTGCACCTGAAATGTAACCTTGAAATGCAATTTTGAGGACTTTTTGGGTCTTTTTTGAAAAAAAGTTGTGAAGTAACCCCCCTTAAAATCATGTTTTCTAGTCAACCATATTAAGACCAACATTTATTTTTCAAGTGAAATACCAAAAATGCCCTTGAGGTCTGATTTAACAAAAATATGCAAATGAATACTACTCTAAGTGTTCATTTCATCAAGAATGGTGTTGTGTGCCAAAGTGAACATGCACACATATGTAAAATGAGTAAATACACGTGTTCCAATAGCTCATGGTCACATAACATGTCATATACAAAATACAACCTGTCAAACCTCGAATTCTCATCATTTTATAAGACAACTATGGGATTAAACTAGTATACATGTGATATAAATGTACATGGCACTTGGCCTCATGTTATACATACAAAACAAGCATCAAAGAGAGTACTTAGATACACATTACATGAAGAAAGCCATCTTAACTTCTAAAATACCATACATCCATGTTATACAAAAGTATTACATCCAAAAGATAAAACATGCTAAACAAGTGTATGCTAATATACAAAAATGCTTCAACTAGCTCAAAAGCTTCTAAGGATGATGAGCATCCATGAACATGTCTCTTTACTAGAAAAACAATCCAAACCACTAGGGTGAGTAATCAAGTTACTCGTAGGAGAAGCATATGCGTATACCCTAAAGTTTCAATATCATTGCGAGATCAATATAGACGAATACAAGGGAGCATTCCACTTAACGTCTATGTTCAAGGTGTGCTAAGGGATCATCTTAAGCTAACTTAAATGATTCTTAAACAACACATAACAATGTTAATGTACTTAACAACATCAATTCGCAATCAACCAAAAATTACAAGTTACAATTAAACATTGGTTGTCAACTTGAAATT